GCCAGTTTAGAATAGCCTTCCTCAACTCCCATATTGCACATGTACAGTACATGCATAATACGGTATTAAATTCGTAGTCTCATATGTGTTCATTGCATACCATGGTTTTATGAACGCACTCCCACTTGGTACCGCTTTTGCCAGGCTGTCACCCTCGATGAAGACGCCGCTGTCCATGAGGATGTAAAAGAAGTTGTTGCGTTGCGTGACCAAATACTGCATGCTTTGAAAGTCCATGCGCTGGCATGCCTCATGGCTGCATGCGTGTTCAGAACCGGCCATGTACATGTCACAAGATGTGTCAGTACCGTGCCCCAATGCTGCCGTGCACCATGCCACCCATGACAGCTTGAAGCCAAACAAGCACCACAGCAGTATCGTGACCCTTGCCAGCTAAACTTTTCGACGACTCGTCAGTCGCACACTTGCGCAACAGTTTGCGGAGCAGTTCAAGCAGGGGGCGTGCGGATCATGTATAGACGTTTCCGACCTGACCAGGAGATCTGCTGAGGTCAGCGGAGGCCAGGCCCAGCCGTGAGTTCACATGAGTCCAGGCATGAACTTGACCCCCCCGATTTGCACATCCACGACACTTATGTTTTCAAGCCGTATTGACACGCACGCGAAACCGACGCATGCACGGAAATTGACCACGCGAGCAGGTCGCCGGCACATGCAGCTCGCCTTCCGCGCGGCCCGGCCCCCGGAAGCCGCGCCGCTGCGCCACCGTGCTGCAAGGTCGCTGGCTCCATAGACTACTTCTTGTCCCATGCTTGCTTGTCCTCCCGAGATTTTTCGGTTTGACTTGACAGCGCTTGCCTCCTGACACGCCCCCGCCCGGCCGACGGGGGAACGCCCAAGCGGGCGGCACCCGCGCAGCCTGCCGCCGCGGCTCCGCAAAACCCGCCTGGCCCGGCGGCAGCGTCAAAGACCCCGCCGCCAGCGCCGACCCTGGCAGCCAACTTGGGCGCGCCCGCCGGGGCCGCCCCCCCGGTGCCCGCGGGCGTTTTCGCAGCTCGCAAGCGCCGCACCTCCTTGATGTCATGTCAAACGCCTTCCGGCTCCACGGTTTGCACGAAGTGTAGCCTTGGTTCTCATTGCACTCATGAACTGCCGGTATGCTTCCAGCCAACGAGCATCCAGGCTGCGGGCTTGCCCGAACAAAGTCAGCTTGCACAGCAGGACTATAGTTGAAGCCACCATGTCAGCTCCAAAGCCGATGTGGAACGTGTGGCACGTATCTGGATATATGCATCGTGGGTCCGAACCGTGAGGCAAAACGAACCATGGCACCCGATCATGCTTGTAAGGCAGTGGTCCTGGCCGCTCTCTTCTCCAAGCAGCCTGCGGGGACATGTCGAACCAGTCCTGCACATCATGCATGGAGCAGCAATATAATAAACCTAGCTAGTAGTGCAGGAATACGTGCATGTACATGCTTCCTAACAAGATCTGTCCTTGCCCGAGCACCAATGGCATTTTCTATTCGAAGTAAATCCAGGAAATAAACTGGCCGCCTCACAGTACATGCTTGGCATATGTGTTCCGTGCATGAAGTGTGCACGCGAGCCTTGCGCAGGTATGGCCAATCTCCTTTCAGCCCCAGCCACACCAAGTGGAATCGAAGTCGCGATCCAGGCAGCTGCAGCAATCGCAAGATCAGCACTGCAGTGGCATCGTCATGCAGACGCTCATGTGAACACGGCTGCCTTGAAACCATCCTCATAGAGTTTCAACATCGCGTTTGCCAGCATCTGTTGATGTCATCTGCCACCTCCGACCGCTTCGCCGCACATTGGGCCTCGTGGTGCGACTTGCCCGTCATCCATGCCCGGGCCCCCGCTGCGTTTGCCCGACTGCTTGGCGCCCTCCAGGTCCCAAGCGACCGAGTCCTCCCCTGTGCCGCTGCCGCCGTCCTCGCGCAGATGCCTGCGAGCGCTCGAAACTCCGGACTGGGCAGCCGTTTGCGCCGGCGCAGCCACTGCGCCCCTTTTCCAAGGCGGCGGAGACGCCTCCCGTGCCCTGGCCCTTCAAGGGATGGCAGCGATTTGCTGCCCGCGCCTGCGACGCGCGTGCCTACGAGACGCACCGACGATCGCAGGTCGGGCCCTTTGCCGCCCGTGCCTTGAATGTCCTTCCCACTCGCGACGAGCTCTCCATCCCCATGCGCCGCCTGCGACTTCCCCTCCCACTCTCGCGCAGATGCCGCTGCCATGGGGAGCTTGACCCGCTCGGTGACCGCCGCTCGGCCTGCGCCACCTCGGGGGTCCTGGCCACGCGTGCGCTGCCCCTTGAGCATGCCGTCACGCGGGTCTGTCGTGAAGCCGGCGCCCGGGACGTCCGGCTTGCGGACATGAACCTCGATGCGCTTGTCTCGGACGAGCGGCGCATAGAGGTTGTCGCCAATGGCCTGCCTTTGTGGCATGGCTCTCAGCTCGCCCTGGATGCCACCATCGTGTGCCCCCTCAAGCCCCACCCGCGCGCAGACGTCCAGCCAGGGACCGCCGTCTCTGCCGCCGCCCGACGCAAGCGGCGCCAGACATATCCAGAGCTCGAGCGCGCGCGGCGCTGCCGCCTGGTTGTTGTCGGGCTTGAGGTTGGCGGCAGGTTCGGCACCGAAGCTGTGCAACTCCTGCGCCTCCTCGCGCGACACCGGGCCTCCACAGTCCCAGCGCAGTTGAGGCCCTCTGCCATCGTTGCCTGGATCGCGCGCTGGTCTGGGCTCCTGGCAGTCGCATCCCAGCGCGCCTACGCCGCCTCGCTCCTCGAGTTGCCGCCTGCCGCTGAGCTCGGCGAGGGACCCCTGCCAGGGCTACATGAGGTCCTGGCAGACTCGAGGGGTGACGCGTGACCACCCGTAGGCCGCCAGTAGACTCACGCCGACGGATGCTTGACTTCTTGCTTGGTCGTAAACAGGCGCGAAAAAAAAAGGTTTCCTCTGTCATGACACGACTGGAAATGCAGCTGTGCAGGACACGGGACATGAAGGAGTGCCTCGGCTGCATGCATGTACGTGTACATGTTTGGGTCAGCTAGAGCACATGCATGATCTCATGTGGACACCTTGCTACATGCATGTGCAATTAAGTTGCCCTGAAACATCGTGGCCAGATCACCGGTTGCCATGACTGGATCATGAATGGTACTTTTCGAGCACCTCGTCCTTCATCTCCGTGACAGAAGACGGGTATGCGTGTCGCCAGGTTCTCCCCGATTGGTACACGATGCGGTCTGGGAAGCAATAGGCGAATTTCTCCCAGAAAGTCGCGAATGCACATTCCCGACAAAGGGCTTCCAGCCACGCTTGCATGGGCAGTATCGGCCACCGCACGGATATTGTTCGAATGCGTGGTGTCAATACCTGTACACTGATCTGTACAGTCTCCAACCTGACATCAACAGTTACACCATGCTTTCTGATGGCCGTCATGAGATTGCGGTTGACGTGGGCTTTGCTTTTGCTAGCTGACGCCAGTGATTGGAGTACATCCGCCCTGGTTGAAGCAGAAGAGTCGCTTTGCAACCGGTGTATCAACTCTGTTCCGAATTTCGAGGAGTGAACGGAGTGACTATCCGTGAAGGATAGTTCGGCGAATTTTCGCCACATCCTCCGCTGTTGCACCAGTGAACACCGTGAGCCTCGTCTCTTCCGCCAAAAGAAAAGGTGCGTTGAGCTGCTGCTAAGCGCTTCCACTCCCATAGCAATGTCTTCCCCATCAGACCCTAGCAATCAAGCTAGTTCGGTACTTGATCTATCGAGTGCCTCAGCCATGGCATTGCCGGGTGGTATCGGTTCAGATAGTGGTTCGGTTACGAGTAGTTCCGCAGTTGAGCTCCGTGAAAGGTCCCCTCCTTTGACTAGACGAGCCTTGTCAGGACCTCGCAGAACTCGTGAGCACTCAGACCCTTACCCGAATCTAACCGCTCAAGACTCATACACGCAGAACATCCTGAACGTAGGAGCGTCCCCACAAGAAGTTCTGGATGCCCAACGTTTGGCTGCAGCCCAAGCAGCGCAGCAAGTGGCTGATCATGCTGAACAACTACATGCTGTAAGGCTAGAGCAAGTTGAGAATGAGGCTAGAGGTTTGGTTGAAGCCACCGTTGAGCAAATGCGTGAGCAGTTGCAACAATACGAACATCGTTATGATGAGATCCTCCAACAGGGTCGGATCTTGGAAGAACAGCTATCCGTAGCTAAGGCTGAGTTAAGCAAAGTCGAAGCAGAACTTCAGGTTGCTCGTGCAGGGTACCAAGAGCTTGAAGCCGCCCTAACCAGCTGCCGGGGTGATAACAACCTGCTGAACTTCCAAGTCACCCAACTGCGTGTTGAGTTGCAAGTCAAAGATCGCGAGATCCAAAGACTCCGTCAGGCTGCTGTAAGCGTTCACCTCCAAAGCCTGCACCTCGCCAGCAAGATGTACCACCAGCAATTGCCCCAAGTGCCTGTTCTGGTGGTTCTAGTTGGGTACATATCGGTTCGGATGGGGACAATAATGGTGCACCTTCATTGCCGCAAGTTGTCAATGAGTCACCCCCTTGCCCTCTTGCAACCGTTACTGACCCTCGTGTTGACCAGTTGATTGATGTCGTACAGCAACTGCTTGCCCAAAGAAACGGCACGGATCAAGGATGCAATGATGCATCTCCTGTTCATGAGATCGAAGAACCTGAGAGGCAAGAGAAGCACATTGTTGACAACCGAGCTTTGTTGCATCTCAAGCTTGAACCGGTTCCGTCCGACGCTGCTGGTTTTCGAGCCTGGAAAAACGCGTTGTTGGTCCAACTTGCCGAGCTTGATATGTCAGGAGAAGGTTTGGTCGTTGAATGGCTATCTCCGTCTTTCACAGCTGAAAAAGAAGACCTTACTGAATCTGGTTTTCTCCCTCGCGTTGACGCTTGGATTGCTGGAGAGATGACTTCCTTGCGTGTGTTGAAGCAAGTGACTGAGTTGTGTTGAGTTGTGCGGCCAAACACGGTCCCAGCCGAAAGGTCGATACATGCTTGCCCTTCTTGCTCGTCATTTCAGCATCGACCGTGTTCGAGGTACTCTGCTGACTGCTTCGACGTTGTTCCAGGTTGAAATCGGGGGAAACTCCGTGCGAGATCTCCGACACTTTGTGCAACGCGTAAGGACTGTTCTGTATGCAATACCAGTCGGACAGAGGCCAGATGATCGCCTCACTGGCGAATGGCTTTTCCACCGGGTGAAGCATATTCGAAAGTTGGAACGCGTCATCGAGGATATCAGAGAATCTGCGCCAGAATCCCGTCGTCGTGAGTGGGACTACTTATGGAACAAAATACAAGATATCCTTGTTCAAGAGCGAGAAGATGCAAACTCACACTCGGTGATGAAGTCCTTGCAAATTGCCGCTCCGCAGGCGAAGACAAAGGGAGTTCCTGCAGGGACTAAGGAGGCATCCCGGAGTTCCCCAAAGGCCAAGACTCCTGCCCCAGCGTCCACTGGACCTCCACCGAAGGCTCCTGTGCCTGCAAATCCCGCACCAAGCCCCAAACCTAAGACGAAAGCTAAAGCGAAGGCAAAAGGCATGTCAGATGCAGAGAAAGCCAAGACACCTTGCATTTTCTTCAGAATGTCGTCTGGTTGCATGCATGGAGAGAATTGCAAGTACAGCCATGCACCTGATAAGACCCCTAAGGTTGACCCTAAGTCTAAGCCTAAGGCCGCCGCTCCCAAACCCAAGTCCCCAGGAGCTGTTGCAAAGGCAGTAGTGGCAATGATTGCTGCCTCAAGCATGTGCAACATTCCTGGAAGCAACGCTTTCAGCGTTGAGTGGGCTGCCGACACAGCAGCTGGTCGGCATCTTGGATCGATGCGAGCGTTGGCAGACCAGGGAATTCCGTCGGAGTCATACAGGTCGTTTCTTGCACACTCAGCGAGCCCTGTTACATTCCACACAGGTGGTGGACCTCATCCCGGCTCTCAGAGTTTGGGATTTGCATAGTTTGGGATTTGCATCTGACAACATGCCTCTCGCCAATCACTACATGTTGGACAACTGTCCAGTTGTTCGGAGCACCGGTTTGGATGTTGAATCCGGGAAGGCCTTCATATGGTTACCTGGTTCCCTTCCTTTCTTTGCGCATGACCTGTCTAAGCTTCGGATTGATTGCGCTGAGGAGGCCAAGTTTTATGCAACGCGCGTAGATGAGCATGTGCCGATTTTCACCAGCAAAGTTCAGTTTGTCCACGGCATGGCTGCGTCAGCTGATTCTCTAGAAGGGTCGGGTGAGGAATTCCGAGAGCCTTCGGATCCCTTTGCCCATGATCCAGCTGAAGAGTATGCCAAAGACCTCAACGTGGTGGTGATATTCAGCCCAATCAAGTTCGTAAGATCTTTGGACTTGTGAAGCGTGGATCAGCGCCCCGAGGGATTGAGCCGAGCGATGACTCGTCCTTTGCAGTTGGCTGCTTCCGTCGAGGTGGCGTGGTCGGTCTTTTGAAGTCTACGAAGGAGTACCCTTTCGTTACTCGTGCATTGAACCAATTTGCGCAGCGCAAAGCCCCTGGGCATGTTTACACCACCATCAATTTGCTGCACAATGTGTCCGCAGATCCTCACAAGGATTCCCATAATGCTGGGATTGACAATGTTGTCATTTCGTTGGGGGGTTTTACCGGTGGTGGTGTTTGGGTTGAAGATGCTGCAGGAAGAGACAAATGTCCTTTTCCAAGCGTTTCGCAGACTGGCGAGCTTTTGAGTTTCAAGAAAGGGGTCATCAAGTTCTCTGCCAAAAATCGACTGCACGCCACGCAACCTTGGACTGTTGATCGGCTGGTGATGATCTTGTATGCAGCAAAAGATCCAGCTTCTCTTGAGCTTGATGTCTTAGATGCTCTCATAGGAGTTGGATTTCCTTTGGACAGTCGCCCGCTGGTTGATGTCATTCCAGCAGAAGTTGAGTCGTCCGAAGTGCCTTCCTCTTCGTGAGGGGGGCTGCCCAAGGAACATCTTTTCGAGGCAAACCCTGATGGTCCAGCTGCATCTGCGCTTCCTGAAGGGGACAGGCCTTTAGATTTGAGTTCGCCGGGAGTTCCCATTGTGGACGACGCCCATGTCAGCGATCGAGTTCGCAAACTGAGAGATGAAGCTGTAAGCGTGAAGCATATCGCTTATTCTATTTCCCAAAGAACCCGTTCTGCGATGTGTGCAATCAATCCAAGCTCTTATCCCGAAGAGTGCGCCGCAAGCCTCGTGATGAGGATTCTGAGCCCGCGTTGCTTGAAGCTTCGGAGTTTGGAGAGGTTATTGCAGCTGATCACATCCATGTGTTCAAGTCACCTAGTGACTCCAATGCTCCCGGAAGAGAGTGTGTGGTGTTGTGCCTTCGAGGTCGCTTCACAGGATTGTTTGCTGCTTACCCTGCCACAGATCGTTCAACTGATTCCATCTTGACATGCCTCAAGCGTTTTGTCGGGAGGAAAGTGTGCAGCAAGCCGGTATCGCTGGTTTCTGATGCAGCAGATGAATTCAAGCTTGCTGCAGAAACCTTGGGCTGGCTACACATGCCTTCACTGCCAAACCGGTTTCCTCACAATTCTCAGCTCGAACGCGAAATTAGGTCTTTCCAAGAAGGAGTCAGGTCGTCTTTTCTTGAAGCAGGGTTTGCTGTCAGGCCTGAGTTGTGGACAGTGGCTTGCCGCTACGGCTCAATGGCGATGAACTTTTCGCATCCTGCTCCTCTCGAGTCTGATCTCTCACGATGGGACTTTGCAGTTGCGCACTTCGATGCCGAAGATGTCCCGCCTCGGGAATTAATCTTAAGCCAACTTGTTTTCTATCGGGCACGAGCAGATAGCAAGTTTGGTCCTCATGCCAAGCCAGGGTTGTTCGCCGGATGGAGATTGGAGCCTGGGTTCTTGTATAGGTCGGTTGTACGCGTGCTGGATTTAGCCAAAGTTCGATTCAAACATGGTTCTTGGGAAGAGGTTATTTCTTTTCCTGAAGCAGGGCTGTATGTGCGATCTGGCGACCCAGTGTTTCCCCTCAAAAACGCGCCCGAACATGCGCTGCAGCTTTGTGGAGGAGACGACTTTGTGATACCAGACCCTCTTCCTTTACCTTTCTCAGGCGACCAAACCAACGTTAAGAAAAAGGCCCGAAGGATCTACATCACCTATTCAGGATTCCTGAAGCTTGGCCCTACTCCAGGTTGCACTGCCTGTGAGAGAGGCGAGCCCAAAGCTTCGTCACAACCTGTTGAGGATCATGAGACGCTCTTGTCTTTCGAGCATCTTGGTTTACCTGACCTTCCGCCTGAGATCGACCCAGACGATGAAGAAGCAGTTGAAGTAGAACTTGCTGCTTTAAGTAGGTCTACAGGAAGAGAATCTGAGTCAGAGTTAGACCTCCTCAGGACGCCGGAGTACGAACCTTCGATTCCCGAAGATGATGAAGCACTCCCCGGTGTAGGAGCTTTACCTGCCTGCTGCGCTCCGGATTCCATGATTGGGGCACATTGGTCCAGAGCTGGGTGTTCAAGTGGTTCGGTTGTGCCGTGAAAGTATCGATCTCGAGGATCCCTTGGCCATCGATCAACTCATTCATCAAGTCAGTGCAACTCCAGGTTGCTGCATCCATGGATCCCTTGAATGTGGACCTTGGTCAGCTTGGTCCCGCATGATCCAAACAACGCTTCAGGGAGGCTCCAAAAGGATCCCACGGAGGCTTCAGAAAGGCTCCACAAAGATCCCCCCCAAAGGCACGGTCACTCGGAGATGACCCTAAACGTCATGAATCCCAACAAGGCACCCCGAGATGCGGTCACTTGGGAACTTTGAGATTCTATAAACAACGTATCAGGCAGGCTCCAACACGCCCAAACATATGATGTTGAAAGCCTGACAAAAACACCCAAAAACCAATTGTGGCCTTGCAGTTTGGTTGTTCAAGCACCGCTTGCAACCGCTGTTGTAATGCTTCTCAACCCCCTGTGCACAGATAGTGCTGGCACCTCTCTTGAAGACGAGCCCGTAGCATACGCATGAAACCAAGGGGTGCGACACATGTAGGGACACACAGCCTGGTGGTGCTGTATGCCGAAGATGGCAAGCGAATTGTTGTAATCAGCTTGCGTTCATTGGGGATTCCAAACGAACACTGGATTTCAGCTGCTTTGCCAGGACCAGGTTGACCCTAGCGTTCCTTCGGGAAATCGAGTTTGTACCATGCTTTGGTGCTGTCTAAAAGGCACTCCGCCCACAGCGTTCATTGGGGAACTCGGATTTGGTAATGTTTTCTTCGCCTTCGCTTGAACCGGTGCGTTCATTGGGGTTTAGATGTGTTGGGTATGGGTGGTTTCGACTTTTCGTGCCGCCTGTAGTATTTATCCCTTCATCACTCCATCTCACAATGCCACCATATCCTCACCACCCCGCCTTACCAAAGTGTCCTGCCAAGATGAATCACATCAGCAAAGCCTCCCCGGTAGGGGTTGAGGTGTTTGCAGTAAAACCTCCCCTCTGTTGGGTCGAGGTGCTCGCTCCTTCTATTTCACACGCAGGGCAATTGAACTGTACAGTTGTACTATGGTTCATTGTTCTCGGCGTTGCGACACATGGGATCCTCAATCTCCTGTATTGAGTTTGTTTGTAGGTCTCGTTTGTAGATACACCTTTTCGCTACGGGACGCGCTGTTTCATTGTGTGTCTAGCTACCTTGATAGCTTTGTACTGTCCTTTTCTGGGTTGATGCTGATCCTTGGCATCTACTCGTTGTAGCTGTGTCGTGTCTGCTGGCAGTACGCTGCGGGACACACCTGGCCGACGCAATGCGAGGCCCAGGTCGGGTTTCACTCGACTCGACTCGGATCTCTGCAGCGGGGGAACAACAACGAATGCAGGCAACGTTTGCCTAACACGTTGTTAAGACGGAGGGCGAGGGAAACGTTCGCCCCGATTCGTATTGTGAGTGTGTTTGTGTGTGTTTGGCGAGCAGCAGACGGATGGGTCAAACAACCCCATTCCATCACAGAAGTGCCCATCCCCACCGACAGAAACCTTCCCATTTGGGCACACAGACGAAGGATGACACGATGCATTGCCCCAAGGAGAACCGAGTCCCCTGCGTGCGTACTGGAATGGATCGAAGCCCTGGACACCGGTGTCCACGGAGGTGTCTCTACATCTGCTCGTGGCAAGTCATATCTGAGCAAGAGGGCATCTACATGTTACGGAAACAAGTCAATGGTTCTCTTCTGCAACCATGCCCTTAATTTATTTAGTGTGGCAGCGGCCAGAACCAAACACAACGGCCACGGCACAAGCAGAACGAGAAGCAGCCGCCGGCGACCTAATTCTCGGGCACACCACAAGAAATGTATGTGCCCAGCTGGCCAGCGCCAGAAAGCCTCCCTTCCTGACCCTAAACTTCCTAAACTCTACTGGGGTGATCCCACTGAAGATGATGGGAGGCCACAGGCCCAAGCTACATGGAGCCACATGCCACCACTACCCAGCTGTAAAGAGACTTTTACAAGGAAGGGGAAGGTCAGTGAGGACCTAACTGAGATGCACATCTCTGCTTCGCAGGGTATGCCGAGATCCTTTCTCTAAATTCCTGGCGCACACTTGCGAGCTTTGGGATCCGTAAGAAATTGGCCCCGTACTTGGCAAGGAACTCACTCAGCTTGCTGCATGGCCAGGTCCCATCTGTCAAGGCAGTGCAGCTCGATGTCGAGGAGGGTTTTTGTGATTCTGTTGCATGTTTATCTTGGTAAAATTTCAAGTTTTGGGGGAGATAGCTTTTGGACGGGGGGGTTGTTGTCAAGACACTTGGCCGTGATAGACAACAATCCCTGCAATGTCGAAACTCATCCCACGGTACCCCTTGTTGACCTAATTCCTAAATCTTGGCCCCCACAGTACTGGGACCATGATTTTAACCCCTCGAAGAGAAACAGTGGGTGCAGGACTTCGCTCGGGCACTCCGCCCCGGTACTTGGTCCTAGGTGGGACCTGCGGTCCACAGCAATAAATAAATTGTCACAGGCACTGCGCACCCGCCCCCCCCCCCCCCCCCCCCCCCCCAAAAAAAAAAAAAAGAACAAAGAAAAACAAGAAAACATGAGGAGAAAAAAGAGAGAGAGAGATATATATATATATACAACGCGAACCTCCCTACCCTTCGAGTTGCACGCTAGGCCCGCGCTGAGGATCGGACTCGCAGCACTTTGTGAAGACTTTGGGGGCTACACTGTAGGAGTTTAGTGGATTTCTTTTCGCACTATAGTCTTGGCCAGGAGCAATGCCGGAGAAACGAGCCTTTGCTAAGTTGAGGTTTTCGGTGCAATTGACAGCATTTGACGTGTGTCGCTGTCCTCTCAATTAGGCGAGTGCTGCTGAGACTCCGCAGGTACCGACAGGCATTGCGAGCTCGTCGTGCATGTTCAAGTAACGAGTAACGACCCCGTCAAGTTACAAGGTCCACACAGCGCCACATCTGACAGCTAGAGGCTTGAAGATCAATTCTTCTGAGCAGCAACACTCTGTTAAGCATTTGAGCCAGTAGGGTCTTTGCTGCGAGTCTGTTGCATGAAGCATTGACACGAGCAACGGCCGCTCACCTGCAAGCCTGCGAGAATATTGTTGTACTGATACGTAGCACGCTGCGGCAAGGGTCCGATTGCACTGCTGGAAAATGTGACAGCCATTTCGCAACCGTAGTCATCGGTGACAATCTACAGGCACTCGAGAATTTGAGGCTGTGAGAAATCCAGCTGCGCTCCAACTCCAACATCTACCAAGAACTCGGTTCCTAACGTTTAAGCCATGGCTGGCAGATGCTGGCAACTACCCGGTACCATATGCCACTCTGAAGCCGCCCTTGGGCCCAGCAGGCATACGTGGAGCCACCCCGATCACCTTCGGCGGCGGCGCAGTGATGTCTGCAGAGCACTTCCGCGATCTCTGCCGGCAGGAGATGCAGACTTCAGGAATTTGGGGAACTTGGGGATCAAGAGCTTTGAAGGTTTTTAAGAGTTTTAGTAAGTGTAACGTGCTTCCGACCGCTGCCAGGGCCCCACAGCTCTTTCTCATTGATGCTTGGCCTGTACAAAGCTGGTCTCAGGACTCCTGATTTGCATCATTGAACAAAAGGTTTCTGCCAGGGATACTGGGTATGGGTATGGAGCTCAGAAACCTTTTGGTGTTGGGGACTGAGAGGTGTCTTGATCGGCAAGTCCTTGCTCGCTAAAGCCCAGAAATACTTTCATCTGAGAGATTCCTTTGTTAATCTTCAACAGCAACAGTTTGAAGTTTGTGGATTCTTGTAAGCTCTTATGGCTGTGGAAGATTCTGGAAGTTTGAGCCTCTTTTGCTCCTCTGGACCTTCGGGAATCGGAGAAGTCTCAATGGAGCATGTCCTCACCCCAAACATCCGGTTCCTAAGCTGTTTGGGCCTCAGAAAAAACAGAACCTCGGTCCGGCCCACTCGCTCCCCTCCTCCCCTCCCCCCCTCCCGTCCTCTTGTTGGCATGGTATTTTTAGATGTCATCAGTTTTGGAGCCCCCTTGTATTTCTTAAGTGTCGATAGTTACGACTCCTTCAATTCTGAAACCTTAAAGTCTGAAGATCTCAAAGCCTATACCCCATCTAGTAAAGTAAAGTTAATGCCTACAACTTCAAACCCTCACGAAACCCTAAGCCTTAAAACCCGATGTGTACGCGCTTACTACACCGCAGAAGTGGTGGGGGGGGGGGGTGGGGGAAGAAGGGGTGGGCATACGTGGGGACAATGAAAGCGTGGGGGGGGGAGGGCGGGGGAATCTTCACCACCATTCTTCCCAGCAACAACTACAACAACACCAACAACAGACGTGACAATTGTGGGAGGAACTAGGACAAACAAAGTAAAGCAAGGTTCGCGCTCTCCAAGTTGGACTCGTCGTTATGGAGAGTGGTGGCTCTCGGAGCGAACGACATTTGCGCCCAAAAGCATCAATTCATGATTAGACATGGTTAGAGATCGTATCAAGTAATCAGTACTCTCCTCGAATCGGGCGAGAACGTAAAGGTAACGAAAAGGACACTTCATTCTTCCCGAGCACGTGCACGGTCCCGCGCACCACCCCGAATTGAGCCGAGGAGAAAAGAAATGTCCGAAGAACAGATCTAATCCCAACTTGAGTCATCAAAATCTAAGGCGGGCTCAATCGCTCCGAGTGACATTTCATTGTGAGCCAAAATTTTAGTCTTTGCATCGTAATCTGGGCAGTCTAAATGCTCAGACAATTCTCAATACTATGAAGAATTTGCGCGAGCCTGCGTGCAGGGCATCCTGACAACAATAAAATGAAGAGGATCCACGAAGGCCATAAGCGGCTGCACACGATGCATGATGGAGGGATCTTAGAGAGCGAAAGTAGCTGCGCCTGTCCGGATGATGATGTCAGCGTCGCGAAATTCGACAGCTTCCGGGAGGCCCCTTTGTCGGATTCATAACGGGTTTAGGGTATCTTCAGCACGTGACATGTTGGAGCGATGGCCTGTCCCTAAACCGTATA